TGATGGTGAAGTGGAACCAAATATAGACAGAGATTTTATAAATTATAAAAATATTGTGAAGTGTTTTAATTTGATGATGAATTTCTTAATTATTCCTTGGAAATTACTTAGGTCTTATTTCTTCATTAAATTACTGGACAAATTTTATACTGTTACTAGTGACAATTACATGACTTATTATAAGTAAGATGATTGATTAAATCCATGCAAAAGAGTCACTGATAAAGTCATATGAAAATAATTAACTAATGTTATAAAAAATGATTCAATTACTAACTACATATATTTTACATACTAGTTTACAAACAAGATTGATACTAATATAATGTACTTAAACATTCTAGACCAAAGTTAGAGCTTTTGCTTTGCTTTGAAAAACAAGAAGGTTAAACATATGTAATTCCTTTTATACTTAAAAGAACTGCTTATAATAAAACTAAAAATAATAAAACTAAAACAATACATTTGGATAAATAATCTAACATATTTATTGTTCTGAATTAGATACCATTTTATGCATAGCATGTTTCTTTAAAAGATTCACTACATCAAAAGATGTGTTCAAGTATAACTATAGGTCATGATGTTTGACAAAATAAAAATTTATGAAAAAGAAAATAATCTCTTTATAATCAGTTGTAGCTTTTGAGATTAATATCTAAATGAAAAAATATAAATGAGTGTTTTTGAATCATACAATCTAAACTTTTTGTGGCAGTTGTATTGCTTTTGCAAAAGTTTTAATAAAGTTAGATAATTTTTTTTACTTCATGTTTTTTATACTCACGCTCTTTTGGGTGTGGCTTTTGAGAATCAACAGGAATCATTATGGGTTTGGCTCTTACAGCCTTCAAGGACAGGGAGGATTTGTCTATGGTTTTAATGTCATCCTCAAGGGAAGGGTCTGACAATTTAGAAGAGTAAAAAGGAAAAAAAAACAATAACAGAAAAAGCAAAACAATAAAGAAACTTCAACAAAAACATTTAAATAATGAACGATGCAGTTACAAAATAAAATTCATGGTTCTACCTCACTAATAGATGTTAATTATTGATACACTAATTTTATTAGAAAGAAGAATTAACTGAAAAATAATGAAATATTAGCTTTCATTCCTTAAAAGTACACGCTGTTGTATAACAGCCTAATCCAAAGTTACTGACTCATTTGATTTTCATGCATATTATTAAAAAAATAGTTATCAAAAATTAATGAATAGCAAAAGCATATTGTGATAAACTTCTGGAATCCCAGTTTGTAAGATACACATGTTTTGTTTGTATAGCTCATATTTTTGTACTTTTTTCATAAAATTCATAGTGTCTCCTACGTTAACACATTTCTTCTTTTTAGTTGAAGGTTAAAACAAGTAGAACAGTAAAATTGCAGAAGTTGTATGTAATCAACACCTATGCGAGTAACACTGTAAATGACAATGGTTATTTATATTTAGTATTCAAACATTTAACATTAGTAAATAGCAGTGGCTATTTTCATTAAACACTAAAAACTATTTTCACGAAGAGCAGCAGATGTTTGCTATCTCTTGATTATTTCCTTTCTTTTTTCTTGCTTCCAGTCTTTCAAGTTTTTAACTGAAATTCTAGATTTATAATAAATAAATAAAATCACTGGGTTATTTCAACTTGAATAAAGCTTCAATACCTCTATATGAAGATCCTGTATTTCTTTCCAGAGTACTGATCATAGGTCCACTATTTAGGTCTTGTGAGTTACGTGGAATGGGTGTAACAGTCATAGTTGTTGCAGTACTATGCCCTTTATCTAAAGGTTTCAGTTCCATTTGATCATGATGAATCCACAAGTCTGGTGGCTTAAGATCTTTATTTACTCCCATACTTTTAACTACTGTTTTGGCACTGTAGAGAAATTTATGTAAATTATTCTTGTCATTACTTTCAAAGTACATAATGAGTTGAAAATGTAAACAGCTTGAAATAGTAAAGAGGTAATTTGATTGTCAAAGATACTGTCACATCAATCAGTAAAGATGATTTAGTTTATTTAAATATTTAGACACCAAATATAGGTTTTAATTTCTACTGCTTTTTGACTTTTAGGTTTGGTTGTAGTAAAAATACAACTTGAAGAGAAAAGGATAATTAACATTTGCACCAACAAAAGATACAATAGTATTATGTACAGGTAATATGTAAAGCAGTATCCTAAACTTACCCATGTAGTACGTGAATACTACATACTTTATTCTTCTATTGTGTGTCTCTTCCATACCTGCAACAATTTTAATTTTTCTAAACTCTAAGTTGAAACATCACAAATCTGGCCAATGCCATGTATTCAATTCATCTACTAGTTCAAGGGGCAGTTGTGTGGTGTTTTACTTTATATTGTGTAAATAGGACATTTCCATAACAGTTACATAAAACAGAATTAGTTCCAGATTTGATGATTTAATTTTCTGATTAGTCAGCTGCAGAGAGAGATAGTGTGCAATGTGAATGCAATTTGGCATTTCTAAGACAGATTTTTTCTGACTTGGAAGAACCAAGACTTGCTGGTTAAGTCTCATCCATTCAGTATTTTATTTTTACTTTTGATTTCAACACTGTCTTATTTCTTACCAAAAATTACATTAAAACAAATCACTACACCAATTCTTAGATCTCTAGTTGTGTAAAAGACCAGGTAACTGTGTGCTAGGTTAAACCTTGAATTTCCACAGATTGCCTTGATGGAAGACATTTTGTCACTGTTTGCCAGGATTTAATTATTGTAGAAATGGCGGTTGATTTGTATCTTTAAGTTACTTTTCCCTCTTGTGCTCTTAAGCATGAAAATATCCGAGAGAAGTCTCTTCATTCTGTCAAGAACTTTAACAGACAGTTAGAGAGCCAAAATGATCTGAGGGTGAGAAAAGAGGGCCTCTGAATTATTCAGAGAAGTCCTCTACTGAATGCTGAATTCTCTCTAACACTGTGACAGGGATTAGAAAGCTTCAAATTCTACCTTCTCACTAAGATGAATAAACTGTACCCTGGTTCAACAGGAACCACTAATTATGTTGGTTGTTCATGAGCAGTTCAGTTAAGCTTGAGAACAGAGGAGGAAAATCACACAAAATAAGATTAGTGACCATGGTTACACTCAGACATTCTGTGGTAGCCTGTACAGAGATCGATGTAGGTTGAAATATAGTATTTCATAAAACCTAGGCTGAATAACCCTTCAGAAATAAAATGTTTGCCAACCCTACCCACTTTCCAGGGAGTAGTCACCATCATGACACATGTGATGGAGAAGTCTGGAGTCCTCCTACTGCATTAAGAGGAGTGTTCATGTTTTGCACTGATCAGATCCTCATATTTGTGCAGCCTCAGGAAGTGAGGCCAATGAAGTCAAGTGAGCATGACCAAGAATTTCACATTAAGCAGAATGTAAAAATTCCATCTACTAGAATGAAGAAAATGCCTGTGTTGATAATGGATCCACAGTCATTCATGCAGACGATAGGTTTTTGCTCTTGCTACAACTGGTAGGAAATAGCAAAGGGAAATAAAATCATAGCAACATTATTTAGGGGTTCGAAAAAGAAAGATTTAGATCAGTTTCTTATTTGGTTTTGACAGGTAATTGTATAGAATTCTTAAATCCAGGAATTAATGACACAGCATCTACTGCTTAGTTTAGATGGTTCAGGAATGGAACCTGACTAACTTTGTAGATAGTAAGACATTATCATGGAGTTGCAACAGTGACTTGATTTGATAGAAAATTGAACCATCTATCTGGCAGACTTTAAGGCTCATAAATGTGGTGCCCAAAAACACTTAGTTGCATGTGCTAATAAGCTGTGATGCTATTATAGTTGAGAAGTTTGTAGAGAGATTCCTCAGCATGTCCATGTGACATAATTTTGGCACCAGAGATATAATATTTCTGACTGAAGCTGTGTCCATAGCAAGGAGATCATAATGTTGACTATGTTACTGGAGTAAAAGAAACCTGCAGCAGGAGTTGCTGTAGATTTGCCAGTAACACAGCACTCATATGTCCAAACCCAACATTATAAGAAGCTAAAATAGATGACTGACACTACATTCGCAAATGTCACATAGTAGCTTGGTTCAGCTAAAATAGCTGCAGCTGATTGGCAGAAGTACCCAAAACATGTCACACCAGCTTTGCTGATGATGCAGGTGAAAAGGTATCTTGATCCATGGTTAAGACAGAATAAAAAAAAACTCTTCCAACTGTGGACATATTGATCAAAGCATAAGCAACAGGCTCAAGGGAGAAGATACTCTGTGAATGCAATCAGATCCATTAATGTAAAACTAGAGAGGCCCAGGTCAGGTTTGGGTTCTGATCTGAATAAAACAACCATCTGCCTGTTTCTTTAGGTGTGGTTGTTGGTATGATGTCTATATAACTGAACATAGCTTGGCATGTCCTGTGAAACTACATGGATGGGAAGTGGAAATTTTAGATAATACATGTGCTACTAAAACTATTTGATCTTATGATGTAACAGGTACTATCGTGTTAATCACCACACTGGCCAGTGGATGCAAACTTTTTCTCAGAACTTATGACTGATTTATAATGAATAGAAGTTTGACTCCATATCACTCATGGATTCATCACTATATGAGTATATATTGGCTCAAATATCAGTATCTTAGCTTTAGACATTCTACAGGTGTTATCTACTAGAATAGCCTGTACATAGATAGACTTCAGCTCTTAGGTTGCACTGCCAGCTAATGCTGTAGATGAAATGACCTCTAGAACTAGGGATTGCAATTTTTAAAATCCTGATCATAGGATCCTGTATGCTAACAGAATTGCTGTAGGACTGCAACCCTACTTAAAACACTGTTTTCTTGCAAAAACCAAGTCACACTTGCCCAAACAGTTCTATCTCCAGAAGCAAGATAAATTCTGGTTATAGCTTTTAATTACAGGAAACAAGCAGTAGAGGTAATAACTTGAAAAATAATTGGCATAGTGCATGAAGAAGAAGTAAATAAAACGATTGGTTTACTGTTCCTTAGACTGCACCATGTCAATTAACAAATACATAGTTGCTACTGCCTCTGATATCACTGATTGAAGACTGTTCCAACAGATCCTCAAAAATCTCTGGAAGGTTACTGATGGAATTTGCCAATGTACTTTTTGGAATAGATGGTCAGCTAGGGAGAAAAACATCATGAAGCATCATATATATATATATATATATATATATCAGAGACATGTTTCTTATAAAGCAACCACTAAACAGGCTTCATTGGAATACAAAGGGACACAGCCATTGCTGAGATAGATTGAATGCTAAAGGTAAGATTCATTCCACTATTACAGTGTGTGGTTGTCACCAACTGAGTTTCTATGTAGACTATAGGTGGGTAAAAGTGATAATACATGTCAACACATTTCTGTTGCCATGTATAGTTGAATGTCTTGATGCTCTGGAAGGATCCTGGTTGTTTAACTCACTAGATCTTGTCTCTGGATCCTGGCAAGTTGAGCTAAACAAAGAAGCAGAGCCAAGACTGCAGTGCTCAAGAAGGTTTGTATGAATTTCATGTTATGCATTCTGACGTTTTGATGTACCAGCTACTGTTAAGCAGCTGACAGAATTTGCACTGTATTGTTTCCAGTGGGAACAGTGTCTAAGTTACATCCACAAAAGTTTGATGTTTGGTTGGAAACTACAGGCTTCAGTTGAAAGCCTAGGTATGGTTATCAATGTGTGCAACAAGCAAGTCTGAAACTGAGGTTAGGGAATTGTTCTTTTATGAACAAATACATATAAAGTTTCTTGGATATATATAGTGAGAAGGCATAGTGTCTATGGATCCTGCTAAAATCAAAGCAGTGGTAGATTAGCTCAAGAAAAGAAAGAAGCCCAAACTTTCATATTATAACTGCTTTTTAGCTATTTATGCACATACTTATCTTGTTCTGGGGTAACTTAATTCATCAAACTATGAGATTCAGCATTCATTCAACACTCAAACATGTGTAGAACATGTCATATTTTACTATAGAGCCCCTGTAGCACTGATTTGACCAGGAAGCAGAGAATGAGCAAGTCATAACTGCAAACAATTATATAAGCACTGTTAAGTACTTCTCATATCCAGTGGAAAAAGAAGAAAATAACAATGAACCTTCTCTGGCTACTTACCAATAATAAAAAAAAAGGACATAACTCCAAAGAGTAATACATGCAGACATTTATTCACACTGGTGACATCACCCTTTTAGTCATTATAGCTGGAATAAAGAGAGAGAGATAGTCCTCTACAATTATAATGGTCAACTGATTGAGAAGTCATGTTCACATGGGGTTGTGCAACTCTTACTTTCTGAACTATTAAGTGAAAAGTTGCAGAGTTAATACAGAATACATATGTATTTTATATTGAAATTCAGTACTTTCAATAGTTAGGACAGCTAATGTTAGTAGATGTGATGCCCATAGCATCAACAGTTTATATGGAAGGAGATGATAGCTAGGAATTCAAAAACATTTGTAAGCTGAAAATGATTTGTAACCTTTACATTCATTTCTGAGCTTTCAGATAGATTTGTGGATTAAAAATATATTTCAGTTACCCACTTAATTTCAGTTTACACGAATAGTGTTTGGTTATAACTGGAGTTCTTGTACTACTAGCCCTGATGAAGCTGTTATGGCAAAATGCTGGCAAAAATAAAAAGCTTTATTATTATCTGAAGAGTAAATATAATTTTTTCTAACTTTATTGCTGAGATAAAGAATATAAATTATAATCACTTAAATAAAGTTTAACTCCTTAGCACATATATATTACACTTGAGTGATTTCACTTTATGGTTTATAAAACTTATAATGTTTGTATTTTAATATAGTTAAATTATTTTTACTTGGTTGTTTATAAATATGCCCTTACTATGTTATCTTGAAGAAGTCTATTTTTTTTAAAGTTATTATAAAAACAACAATAGATAATATAACTTTACTCTTAAAAATAAAACTTGAATTTCTCTTATCTGTGTGCCAACTGTAAGGGGAAAATGATGTGCTTAAATGAGAAACCAGTGTTTTTTATCTGGGTCTAGAACAAAACCTTATGAAGATATTTTACTATGATAATGTACACAAGAAACAAAACTATCTTTATTTGATGTTTAACAAGGCATAGCAAGAGATAAAGAGCTCCTATGTTAGATAAACTAATGGAAAAGTTATTTCATTGACATATACCTTTTATTTTGTCCTTGTTCAAGGTGCACCTGGCGTCGTCGACAAACAAATGCACTAACTATGGTTATAACAAGTAAAGTAATGCTTGATACACAAGCTATAATAATGTACAGCATGTTGTTGGCGAGTCCACCTCCATCTAGGACAGAAATATATGAAAGAAATTCAAACCCATAGTTAACCTGACTTTTTTAATGTTTTGACTTCAGTTTATAACAAAGAAAAGTAAGCATACGAAGTAAAAAATATTTTTTATAAGTCAAAGTAAAAAGATTATATTAGTTACTATTCTATGTTTTGTCTATTTATACTTAAAAAAAATCTACTTATGCAACAATAAAACAATCTTTTTAAAGACTTGTAGAATGTTTTCAAAATAATACTAAAAGCATTTTTTTGTTCAGTTGCTTTTATAGTATCAACAACCATGTGACTTCAAATTCTGAATGATTTTGATGTAAGGCAAAGAATATGTCAACTCTCACAGAATTATCCACTCTCCAATTTACCACATAATTTATTAAACATGTATTAGGAGAATGTGCACAAGGCAGATTTCTTTGTTTGTGGTCATGATGATATATTCCAGATGGTTTGGGGAATATGGATAGAAATGTATTTCACAGATAAATTACCTGCTTGAAATTCATTTTAATTCTAAAAATGTTAAATTCAAATCAGGTAGACTTACCTCTGAAATACCATAAGTTAGAATACTCCCAATGAATTGGAGGAGGGAACCAGAGTGTGCCATTATTAAGTAACACTGGTTCCACAAAAGTAAGGCTTTTAGATAGGAAGGTAACAACCTATACCACAACAAACAAGTTAAGTGATGATCAAGCAGAGTTTGAGTAGAATCCAGAAACAGAGAAAAGGCCATGTGAGAATTGAGTAGAACAGACTAGCTTCATGGAGACTGTATCTGTAGTGGAAAATTCTCAGAGGAGGAAATCAGTTAAGATTTAAGACTAAGGCCCCCTTTCATTCTACTAAGTCCTGAAACCAGCCTAGTTAGTGGGCATCTAGGGATAACCGAAAACATCAAAGTGGACCCCAGAATGGGGCCAATGACTCTATGACAATGTTTGGGTACCCCAGTTTAGTTAAAGGCAAAAAATCAAAATATATGGTGATCTAAATCCTGGTTGAAGCTAAGAGACAACATTAGAAGAATGGGAAACTTGTCTCCAATGTCTGAAAATGCTCAGTAAGGACATGTACTTGGAGGTGGGGAAGGTACTCATTGAGGTATCATCAGCCACAAGATGGCATCTGCTGTATATTTACAGAGGGCATCACTCTCTCACTGAGCTCCAGCAAAGAGGTTGGAATTTTGTCTAGATCAAATGCAGAGTTATATGTGACATTTGAGAGTTCCCACTGGACATATCTATACATGGAATCTCACATTATAAGAAGAGACCTTCCTGTTTTTTGTTATTTTTACTGTTGTTATTCTATAATGAAATATTTTATCAATCTTAGATACACCTGGAGCTGTGAAAAGGTGTGTTGGGTTGTATAGAAAACATGGGTTGCCATACACAACATAGGTGTGGGCCATAGTGGTAAAGAAACAGGGAATAGAAAATAAATTCATTGTTCTGCTAGGGGTGTATTCCATCTGGTTTAAAGATTCACAACCAGAAGTGAACATAACCCTAAAGCTGAGGATGTCATTAAAATTTCAAGAGTATATTCCGATTCATCTACATGCCAATCTGCAAGATATTCTCTAAAGGGACTTTGGCTGGAATGCCAATGACATCATCACATGGCAAATTTTGGTGAGTTTTAACTCAAACTTCATTTTTAAGGTATTTGGGAACATCACAGTAAATAAGACAGATCAACTGAACAAGCCAATTTGTCAACATGGCCAATGAAAGACCTGAAGAGTGTGATTCATCATATGATATTAAACTTTTATCTGCCATCCTTAGAAATTCATTATATGCAAAATAACAATGAATAGCCCTGACTGGACATAAAAACTTTGATCAGAATGAGAATCAAGACAAGGCAAGGTAGATAACACAACAGGTTAAAAATGATGGTTACCTTCTCTTGCAGCCCAAATTTAGGAAGAAAAGCATGAACTGAATAAAAGTATAAGGCCTTCCATGAAAATAAGATACATGAAGCATGCACCAAGAGCAGATATTTTGAAAATCTTTTGCATAATGCAAGCAATAAAGTAGAATGTGTTTTGAGTGATAGATGCTAGAGTGAACAAGTTGTGAAGGATTAAAAAGAGAAAGAAGTCAAGAAATGTAAGAATACTAAGCCCAAGTCCCATCTAGGAACTTGAGGTTATTGAAGACAAAATTGTTGGAAGAGGTCTTTGAATAATGGGGAAAGATACTGATGCATTCCATGGTACCTGAAAGTAAGGCAGCTCTGTAACCCAAATATGGAAGAAGCTAATAGGCCATGCTCATGTAACAAAAACATGAAAAAAGAGGCAATATGTTGAGGAGTTGGAGATATACAAAAAAATACTATGTCTATTGCACAAACTCAATAAAATAAAATAATGTGATTTGTATTCTGCCAAGGAAGAGCAAAGGTAAGAGTAGGTTAACAACTGAACCACTCTAGAAGAGAATTTAGATTCTTAGATGTCTAAAAACAGTGTGAAAAATGGATGTTTGAGGATTGTCAAAGGAGATTTTTCCCAAGATGGTAATAGTACTGGTTCCCTAATGTAACAGGGTAAACCATGGCTGAGTTGGTATGGTGGAGTGATGAGGAAAACCTGTCATTTTGTGTAACTGATCTTGGTGTGCTTTCAAGAAAGAAGGCATAGAGGAGGGCAGGCAAAAGGAAAAATAGTCTCCAAAGATTGACTTAGAGCATCCATAACCAGAATAATGGATGGACGTTTTCCAACTAAACGTCCACATAAGTGTGAAACCTGCCAGTGAAACCAGTACACAAAAACAGAAATAATGGCCCAAATACTTTGTTCATAAAAAAAAAGCTAACAATACAGCCATGCAAACTCCCCGATTGTTAGTGACAGATTATGTGAGAAAAGTCTCCAAAAAAAATTTTGAAATTCTCAATGGTGGTAGATTAGCAACAGTAGTTAATGTTGACTTAAGAATACACAGTGAGTGAAGGAAACAGCACAAGCATACAACTGTCAAGAAACCAATCTTATTACAATAAGTCACATGGGAGAGTGGAGAATTCTAGGTAAGTTGACATATGCTTTGCATTACGTCAAGGATATTCTGAATTTGAAGTCACAAGGCTGTTGACAACATGAAAGCAATTCAATAAGAAAAGGCTTTTAGTATTTCAGAGGTAAATCTACCTAATTTGAAATCTCTTTTCAAATTATTGTGAGAACAAATACTTTTAGTTTAGGAAGAAAAATCAAATTTATTAGATGCTAACATAAAAAAAATAGAGAGCATAATTTGTGTGTTTTGAGGAAAATATGTGTATATATATATATATGTATATATAAACTAGTAATGGCCCATAAAACATTTGTGGTAGTTTTCATGCCCTTTGCTTGAAGTTTCCTTAAAACTATCATTTTCATGCATGGCATTTAAGCTTTGCTTTCTTGCAGGCATTATGTGTTAGGTTGATAAATCCTGGTGTGTTTGATGAATTTTTATGCTGTCAGACAAATAAACTCATGTAGATGTAAGTTTATTTAATAAAACTACACGTAAAGTAAACAATAAAGTATAGTAATGGTATTTATAATAGTGTACGGAGCATGAATCAGTTATGAGTGTATGACACGGTTTTACGAGTTTAAACAAAGAAACTCACAATAAACTGTATTACAGAAAAAAGTAGCTAAAAGATGTTTATAGCAGTCTATGAAATGAACTTAAGCTAAGTTATTGCAAAGTAATTATAAAGTTGTAATTAGGGCAAACTTAGCTGAATATGCAGAAATGTCTGATTGTGTGATCACGAAGTGATAAGCATATGGTTTTGAAGAAACTGGGCATACGTATTTCAGACCTAAAGAAGTCGAGAAAGTGCGTAGAAATTGTATTTAGTATAATGTTAATTTGTTTTTAGGAAATTACACGCAAATTAAATGTTGTTTGTGTGAAATACTTTGCAAATAAAAAACTGAAGTTGACATTGAAGCCAATCATCACATGATGATGATGATGATGATATTGTACCATCATGTAGTATTCATTGCATTAAGAAGTTTAACTTAGCAAAAAAACAGGTAAGGTGATTCTGAATGGAAAAGCCAATATATAATCTGGACTCCGTGGATAAAGGCCTTTCTCATGATGCGAGATTTGTAACATTTGATTGAGAAATTTGCAAGAAAAGTTTTGGACAGACAAATGCAAGCATATTATTTATATGGATATAAAAAAACTATAGTCAGGAAAAAAATATAAGCTTCAATAAAAGTGCATGAATGCAAATAATTGTTTAAAAGACAATGGCATGAATAGCCAGTGCATATCTATAAGTTTATTAAAGTGGCAGATAATGGGCACTCCAGAAAACTTTTGAAAAGTCAATATTTTATTATACCTGTGAAAACAATTAAATAAGAAAAACAAGAGAGAATATAAGAAAATAGATACCAGCTGTGTGATAAAGCAGTGCTGCTTAAAAAATGGCAGAAAGATTAGCAATGCTCATGATTTAATGTCCTTACCATAGTAAGTTGCTCCTGCTGTCCTAGTAAAACCTATTTCCATAACAAAATAAATACTTTTAAAATGAACCAAGCACATGCAAAGAAAAATAAAATATTTTTGTTAGAAAAATAATACAACAAGTAGAAAAAATCAAGATATGGAGAAACTAACTAAACTTGAAATCAAAAACTAAAAATCAAATGATAATTTAAGTAAAAACTATTTAAAGAAATGAATCAACTATATAAAAATTAAAATGTACAGGTTAGTTTATTGAAGATAAAGGATGAGAAAATACAGAAATAAATGAAAAGTCTTTTAACAAAATTTTTGTTTCATAATACTCTTTAACTTCCAAAAAAGAAATTGTCCTTACGAAAACATATCTTATTTTTTGGTTTGACACTTATTCCAATGGCACTTTATAAGAACAATGTTCCAGGTCATATACTCCCACGGCCGGGCATGGCCAGGTGGTTAGGGTGCTCGACTCGCAATCTGAGGGTCGTGGGTTCAAATCCCTATCACACCAAACATGTTCGTCCTTTCAGCCGTGGGGCCATTATAATGTGACAGTCAATCCCACAAATCATTGGTGAAAGAGTAGCCCAAGAGTTGGCGGTGGGTGTAATGACTAGCTGCCTTCTCTCTAGTCTTACACTGCTGAATTAGGGATGGCTAGCGCAGATAGCCCTCGTGTAGCTTTGTGCGAAATTTAAAACAAATAAACAAACATATACTGCCTATGGAACTTTTTCTTCCATTACATACATTCTGAACTGATGATCATGGTTAAGAGCTATTATTCAATGACAACTTTCATTGTAAAAATGCTTCTGCTTATGAGATTTTGTCAGCTTCAAATTCTTGTTTCAAATGGTGTAGCTTTTTGAGCTGGAGGGGTTTTCCTTCTTTTTCACTATAGTCTTTACCATGCAGATGATAGTGTTACTAAGAACTGGTTAAAACATGTCTTGGCACCACAGCTCACATCTGATGTAATATGGCAGTTTGTATTTGCATATACATATCACTTAAAAAGTGTAGTTAAATTCTCTGCACACCTTACAAAGTTTCATTAATGTTTAAAGTAGCTATGCTTAAAAACATGTTATATATTAATTCACACATATGAGAAATTGCTTACTTAAGTCATTTTTAAAAAAAGTGAGGAAATTATAAGAAAGAGATTTTTTCATATTGTTTTTTTATATTTATGAAATGAGAAGTTTAGTTTTATCTTTTTACAGAAATAACATACTAAAAGTCACATGCTTACTTGACCCAGTCAGAAAAATAACCTCAGATGACAAAGGACCATATCCTTTGTTGTTACGAGCTTGTATCTTAAAGTAGTAAGTAGTATCTGGTGCTAAACCTCTAAGAGTAGTAGTCATTTTATCTCCAACTACTCCTTCAACCACCCAGTCTATATCCTTCTGGGTGTTGTCGGTGGTATAGAAAATTACATAGCCTGAAAAATACAGGTTTGTTCATTTTCAGGGCACATTTCTCTTAAGGCCCAATTAGAAGTAAATCTACTTGAAATATTTAGATAAAAATATTGATAACTTATTTTAACAAAATTGTGTACATGTTAAATCCACACATATTGTATTATGTTTTCACAAATCTAAATGCACACAAAATACAACATATAAATAATAATTTTATAATCAAATTTATAATTATTTATAAACAAACTATCTTTAACCTCATAAATTTGGTCACTGAAGAATGCTATTAACATTGCTCTGCCCTTTCTTTGCCTAGTTTTACAAATATCTAAACTTGAACGTGTTGGTTGAATGTTGATATACATTTAATATTTATCCTTTTGGTACTTAATTTTCATTATGCATCAACAACCTCAGAAACTAAAAGTATGCTATTATGTGCAAATACCTGTAATAACTCCATTTGGTTGTTTTGGTGGTTGCCAATGAAGATTAATGACTGAGGAATCATCATCCAAAGGAACTACAGTAAGGTCTTGAGGAGGAGATGCAGGAGCTGTGATAATATAAAAAAGTTTCAAATTATTAGATAATTTATTAATAAAAAGGCTTTAACTCCAGAAAAAAAAATATTTAACCAATGTGTTACTTTACCTTTCCTTGGGGTATCACACTATAACACTTTGTAGAAACTATCACACTCCAGTTACTGACAAGTACTAGTACTTAGAACTGCTGTTCAATGGACAATGTTTCTTCATGGCTTCCCTTAACAACATAAATATAACATTCCACTTGTAATTAATCTACTGTGAAAGTTTCTTAGTTGTTAGAGAAATTACTACACAAATTAATACTGTCAGTTTCTTTGCACTTAAAAGGTACTGTTGATTTTTTGAAAAAAAAACAGGAAAAGATCTGGACCATAAGTTCAACTGGCACATAAACCAAAGTAAGAAACTTCAAAAAAACTCTCACCTCATTATCCAAATACCAACCAGGTCAATGTAAGATCATCCAGTGTATGACCACAAAATGTGATTATACTGGCAACTGTGCCATTAGAAATGTGGTATATGAACTTGAGTGTTATGTATGAAATGTATATATTCAAAACTAGGCATCTTCTGCAAGACATATTCAAAGCACACTTAAGGATGTAAAATTAAGACACACAGAGAAAGATGCTATAGAAGAATGCTAAATCCACAGATATTACTTTTTGTCAATTATGAATTATTTATTGCTGAAAAAAGGATATATACACACACACACAATATATATATATATATCTGTATATAATTATTCATATGTATAAAATAAAATAACTTAAATTCCCAGATTTTATCCACCTCATGTATCCTCTTTGTTAAATTATCATCCATGGAACAGCCACTTCTTTTAATAACTAACACAAGTCAGTAACTGTAGTGTGGTAGTTAATATTGAAGCTTACCCTGAATTAAATGTCAGTCAAAATGTCAGTTAAATGAAGAGTTGTTTTGAAATTTAAACTGTTTTTACTTGTAAGATGAGTTCTTTATTCCAGTATTTACATTACATAAAAACTAATCCTATTAAATATTTTTCTACCAAACTAAAATAAATTAATTGAACAAAGTAAAGAATCAATGTTTCTAAAGATATGTAAAAAAAAAATCACATAACAGAAATATCATTATTAATTAAATTCATTACCAGAAAAATATATTTGGAAATATACATACCTATTAACACAAAGGATACAAAATTGTTAAAGTTTTGTACATTTAAACCTAAACATTTTAAAATAGCAACTGACTATCTCTGTGAATGCTGTCATTAGGAAATAACTATGAAGTGGTTAATGGAATTGAAAGACTAAATCATCTAGTTACCAGCTTCCTGTGTGGTGTTGAGGACACTCATACTCCATGTGCTCTCCTGGCGGCCAAGAACAACTTTCACAGAAAATTCATACTGTGTGTTAGGCATCAGGTTGTCAATCATGCAGTTCAGGTCAGTAGAATTATAGTGTTTGTAATGCAAGTGGCCAGAATAATCATATGGAGCATAGCGTACAGTATAAAATCTATTATCTGTAATCAGCTGATTTCGGGGAAGTGTAGTATCAGTCCAATAAAGAACAACAGTGGAAGATGACAGAACAATTGCTTTCAACCCCACAGGTGGAAGCATTGGAGTCAAAGGTTCAGGAGCTACATGGAAACAAGAGAAAAATAAATAATACAAACTATGCAATCCTTTCAAGCTCATACTATACATGCATTTAAACATTTAGTGGAAGCACATTCATCTAATTAATCCAAATTATAATGACCCTATTACATAAAGCACAAAGTCTTTACTTTTAGCTAATGGACCAAATACCTAAATGAATTACTTCAAAACTTACAAAATTCAAAAATGATTGAAAATGGTGTCAAACAAAAAACACTATAAACCTTAACACAAAATATACTTACTGCTTTCAATCAAGGTTCGCACTGTATCATATATTGGTCGACCATCTCCAACTTGATTGAATGCTCTTAAACTTATAACATATTCTGAAGAAGGTTCTGAAAAAGAACAAATAAATAGAAAAATCAAATTTCTACACAGTAAACTTGATATAACTCATGCACTTTAACTATCCCAGAATACCTAGTTCTTTTCTCAGAACATACTCCCTACATCATTATATAAGGTGAAAAGTTGTCTTGGAATTATTTGAAACAAGGTTAATATTTATTTAAGAAGAAACCATGATATACATTTTATAGTTTCAAATAACTATCAGCAACAAAAGTTTATAAATGTATTTATATAATGTAGTTTTTAGTCATTGCATGTTGGTATTTATTACTAGCAATATTTTGATACAGATTAAAATTGATTGTAACTTTAAAAACAATTTTTTTCCTTTTTTGAAAGTAACAATATGGCTTACGAAGGTCTTCAATAGTGTAGTATCGTTGCTTGCCATCAAGAACTTTAGAATATACATCTGGAAAACCAACTCCCCATCCAATGGTATAGCCTCTAATCATGATATTTTGATTTCTTGGTGGTGTCCAACTCACAAAAATAGAATTAGTAGTGGGTCGTGCACGAACACTTTGTGGACGATCAGGAACTACCAATTCTTAAAGGCAATATAGTATAAACTGTGAATTATTTCACATACAAATCACATGATTTTTCTGCATGCTTAAACAATTAGACAAATAGTTAATATAGCTTAATGAAGTTCATACTTGTTTATTATATTTAATTATAATTCATAGGTTAACTTAAGTATTAAATTAATCTTAATAAAAATTAATCTTTAATAAACACTGAACTTTTTTTTAAATGATAGGTATTTTTTGTTTATGATAATAGATATTAAAATCCTCATTCATTGGTTACTTTTGAAATGTAATAATGTAAAATTTAACTTTTGTGTATTCTCGTACAATAAGAAAATAAACATTGCTCATAATGATAAAAAAATATCTAACTTATTAGGTAAAAACTATATATTATGCAACATATTATCACAAAAAATACATATAAAATTATAGAAATGTTTTAGCTATGTCTAAACATTAAATCACATTTTAACAAACAACTATTGTTCCTACAGTAGTTCTTTAATTATAGCTTAAATGATTTTATAACTTTCTAATACCATGATTTTTTATGCTTCATTCTAGTCCATGGTTCTTGTTCCAAGATTTTATTACGTGTTAATGCTTTAATATTTGTATAAGTTATCCAATGATATAGTCATAATTTAATTGAATTACAAAAGATGTTAGGAACATAGAACACTTTATCTTTGTATTGTAAATAAAATCTATTTATGATGGAATGATAGATGTAGTAAAATATTTCAAACACAGTTACAACACAAAAACTCATCTTATAGCACAAATTTCTATATTTGTCTTTATTTTATTACATCAGCATAAATGTTACTAAGTTATAGCAAGTTAGTATAGTCAAATCAAAAAGGAGTAAATCATACTACACTGTTCAAATATACATATTTTGAATTTCTTAAAAATATTATAGGTTTATGTGGGAAATTAATATCATTATAATATAAAAATGCTCTAGTTTTTTTATTTAGCTTTTAGCACTAACTACTCATCCCTTTAATACATGCTTAATAAATTTTGTTACAATGACTATTCTCTAAGACTTTGTAGATGCTTTATATTTCAACTGTAATGCACAAGATTTCCTAAATATGATTGTGTGATCATAGCTCATTCCATACAAGTTCTGTTTGTTTGCTGAATTTTACTTAACTGAATGTTTTATTACAAGTTGATTTTTTACTTCAGTATTGAAAATATTTTTAAAAACTGCCATATATTCACCATTTAAATCATTTTCAAACGTTTCTGTTGAAAACCAGTCAGTACTTGGACCACTACCATTTATGGATAGAGCTGCAATTTTAATACTGTATCGTGCACCTCGTTCCAAGCCTAGAAAATAGCAATAAAGATGACTTATATAAGCTTTGAAAGTATGTAAAACAAGTAACTTACTAAAAAATTAATGCCTGCCACTGAAGAATACATATTTGTCAGTATAAACATGCCCCAAAGATGTTAAACCTATTATCTCACCAACAGCTCTTTCAAAAATTTTATATATGTGGCAAATATATTAAAAAGAAACAATAACCATGATGACTTTGTGATGTCTTGATACCTTTAAGTAAAAACACATAGATATAGTAGTTTATGAGAACTCTCTGATACAAGTGTAACTTCATATACTAAAACAAATAAAGAAAACTTTGTTGATTATCTTTTAATTGATACAATATACACAAGACAACAGTAAGAAAAAAAGGAAGCTACAGTATTATTTAGAAAATTTTAAAACTTTTTAGATTTGAAATATGTATATTATAGAAGAGTAAGGCATTTAAATTAAATAATTTACAGAGATTTCAAAAATACATACAGCATGGTTATCAGGTAATACCGATTATGGTGAAGCATTCATGTATATAGAAAATAATATTAAAAACAAAACATAATATTCACATAAACTGTTTTGCTAGTTCAACTATATCAAATAAGCCCCCCCCCCAAAAAAAATCTTAATTTGCTTATAGATGGCTTTCGATACCCGCAGTACTATTCTATTAATTCCTAAGTTCTATAATGTTCTCCATATTATTTTTCTACCTACTAAATCGAATGCTTTAGAAATTTCTACAATATATATAATCTTTCTTTCTTTCAAAACCTTATTAAAAAGAAACAAAATAATAGGTATAAAAATATATTCCATATTTACAAAACTCTGGTGGAATACCATTAATTTCTGGCAACCTACAGTATTTTGGTTTAACAAAAAGTTATTTTCTTTCTGTCAATAGTTATATTAATGTGACATTCAGAAATGTAATGCATTTACTACTTTCATATTTTAATGTTTTTTTTTTTTTAACTTATCACTTTTTCAGCTCTGTGTGTGCATTTTCATGTAGTGCATGGTCAAGAAAATCATTAAGTTACTTTCCCTCTAGCAATCTATGTGTCATTCCCTTGAGGCCCTCCAGTGGCACAGCGGTATGTCTGCAGACTTACAATACTAGAAACCAGGTTTCGATTCCTCTGGTCGGCAGAGCACAGATAATTAATTGTGTAGCTTTATGTTTAACTACAAACAAACAAACAATCATTCCCTTGAGATAACATCTGGTCTGTCTATAGGGAAAATAGATGGAAAGCTGCATCTTGTGTATGAAAGTAGACAGCAGTTTCCTTCAGTGGTAGGTCAATTGATATTTTAAGGTGACAACCTCACTTACTTTCTAATGGGAATGACCAATCATGTGGATGGTTCTAATTGCTCAAGGTAAACCTGAAACTATTGAAATGTGAGGTTTAGCTAGTCTGGAAGAAGGTTTCAACCAAAGTAATCTGGAGAGAAGAAGTCTAGATCCAGTAAAAGTGACTGTATGTTGTGTCCAGCAGGTACACACACACACACACACACACACTTTTTACTTGAATAAAGTTGATAAAAATCTTCAATAAAAATTACAATTAATGATAATTAATCTTAATTGTGAGTGAAAGACAAACCACAAAAGCCTCTGTAATCACTCTACCTTCAGCCATCTGTGAGGTGACCTCACTGTTAGTGTTTTTTTCAGCCCTTAACTGAAAGGAAGTAGCAATTCTTACTTTCCAAGCTATTGGGTTTTATTTTAAGGTACAATGTACATAATATATTGTAAGGTTACCAATCGATTACTTATAGTTAGGATAGTTTGTTAATCATAATATCAGGTGGACCAAAAGGGCTTTGCAACCCTTGCATTTCAAGCTATTGGGCAGTGTTTCCCTATAAGAGATATTCATAGGATATCAGATGATAGCTCGTTGATTAACACAGTTTAGAATGGCTCATGCCAGAAGATGTAATGTCTAGGAGATCAAAAGTTTAAAAAGTGAAGATGAAAGCTCAAAAAAGTTCAAAAACTCAGTTGAAAATGTGTCCTGACCCTTATGTTTTGAGCTACAGAGATATTTCCTCTGGTGAATTGTTGTCCTGAACTTTTCTAGAATCACTCCCTTGATCTAAGTGAATAATAAGAGCTCTAAGGAGTAAACAGCATGGTCCTTGCTATATCTTTCTCAGTCCACATGATGAATGTATATCTTCACTTTTTGTGTTTCCTCAGAGTGTACTTTAATATATACTGTAGTAACAGCACAAATATTATGCCTGACTTATGACAATTGTACCTGAAAAATCTTAGTTTAGCTGAATTTTGTTGGAAATTATTTATTCTGGAATGCTTGAAAAGAGAAATGTGTGGAGTTTGATGGCTCCTAAATAACAACACATTATTGTACCATGTTTATCAAATTATAGCCTGCTGATGTAACCCGAGAAGTTACAAAAATAATTTGCATGTTTTAAGTTACTAGAGTATGCGATGATCCATAATGACACTATATGGCAATATATAAAGTTGTTTACATAAAGAAATGTGTGTGGTGTTGCATGCATGTATGAAGATTAAGTCATTTGTATGTGTTGTATAATGTGAATCAATCAATTACATAAAGAACACAACTATTAAACAACATGTAAATGGAAACAAAGAGTTATGATCTGAATGTTAAGACCTTGTAATATGAGGTTAACTTTGATTACTGATCTGCAAAGTATTAGTTGAATATTGGTGAGAGAATGTTTCATTTTCAACATTGAAATGTGTGGCAGGTAGTGAAATTTTCACAGAAGAATGGAATAACGGTAAATGAGAGATTCACACTGTGTCTGAAAAAAAACATAGTTTCCCTGATGTTTTTTTGGTAAGAATAGAGTAAAATATTTCTCATTTATTCGTATGTGAATGAAATTACCAGTAATAAATGAAATTCTCAAACAGTAGTTTAAATGACATAACAAATATAAATTTAGTGTATCTAATGTTTTATTGGGTTGTATTGTAATATTTTCAATCATGCGAATTGAAATATCTTATATGCACACAGTTTTCTATATATTTTCCTAACATTTTTACAGTTCAAGGTGCAGTTAAAGATGCGTGAAAATGCAGGCTGTAAGTGTACTAGAACAGGGTAGGTTTAACAAATCATGAGATGAAACTTTGAAAAACTGCATATAACCAGACCTAAACTTACTCATGTAGGTAGAAACTAGTCTATAGTTTTGACTCCGTTCCCTTCCTACTGAAACTGGATGCTGTTTACTTAACAGATGGTATCAAAGCTACCAATATTGATCAAGTGAGACCAAGTGAAACCTGGGGACTGAGAAGTTCATGGGCATTAGGGATACATCTTCTACGGGCGAATATAGCATGAGATACATGAAGCCTGTAGAAATGTTACTTGACCAAGAAGGTAATTTGTTAAGTGTTGTCTTTAATGGCAGGATTTAGATAAGAGTATGATTGTAACTAAGAAATTATGACTCTCTTTACAACCTAGTCATTTGGCTGACATTACGGCTAATTGCAATTTATCTGACCTTACATTTTTAATTGGGGTTTTTGCTATTTAAAATCAAATTCTTGACAATTTTGTCTATTTTTTTCTTCAACTAGTCAGAATTTCATTTTTTTTTCTGTCAATGAAAGGAAGTAACTACTATAATGACCACTACACTCTGGATTACCTGTTCAATAAAAAGACAGATTTTGCAACTGACCCAAAGACTCTTGGAACCAGCTTGACATTCAATGAGGACTTAAGACATCTAGCTGAGTTGGCTGTTGAAATGACTTAAGTCTCCTGGGGGTGGACATCCATAGTCAGTTGCAAATACATCTATGGAACAAAAGCTCTCACTGGATGAGCTGACTATCTTGGTCTCTGAGAAACATCTATGCTGCTCAAGCCAAGCCTACAAATGGCTCAACCCACATCTGCCAACTGAAGCAGTTCTCCATAAGAAAGAATCCAGGCAGATATCTTGACATCAAGAGCCTCTCCAACAAAAGCATAAGATCTGCACCTCACCTCCAACAGAGCCACAACATCCTGAAGCTCAAGAATTTCCTAGAAATGAAGCCACAAGAACACGATGTCTGTCAAAGCTCAAGCAGTACTAATAACCACAATGGTGGAGACTACAATGGCCCCCAACCACTGAGAGATGAATAATAACCTCCAAAGATGAGTCACTAATCACACTGCTAATCAGTATTGGCTGTACAGACCTTACAAATCAAAGAGGGTGCTTCCACCCCCAACAGCTGACTCAGTGACACCTGACCAAGACAGACATCAAGTAACGAGTCTCCTCAACAATGGCAGTTTGTTAGATATACATGACTGTTCATTTTAAGTTTAATATGAGAGTATTATTTAGTTTTTATTGTGTGAGCATTAAAGTAAGTTATTTTTAAAAGCGATAGTTATGGACAGTTTACTTATGTAACTGTTTACGAATCCTTTGGAAGACAAGAAAAATTAAAGAATCATTTTATATTAACACAATTAAACCTTCATTAAACAGAGATTCCAGATTAGAGGTGAGTAATCTGTGGGTACCATTGGTTAAATCTACAGGAAATCTCTCCTCCAATCAGAAACAGGGATATAACAACCAATCATAACATGCTCTCCACAATCTACCAATGTACTATAAAGACCGACACCATCTTACACACACTGACCTGAAGATAAAAGGCAGGAAGACTTTCGAAACGTCATCCTCTACACTTGTGTCTCTACAACAGGCAGTTGCCATCCATTCTACAAAGTTTCATCATGTTTATGAATCATTTGCTGCATTGTTCAATTGTTGTGAATTGACGTCAGGTTACTCAAACCTTCTGAATTTTTCTTGTTGCTTTAAGTGAGTATTGTTACATCATAACGTCTTGTAGTTTGTAGATAGTTCTAGACTTCAGTTGGGAAATATATGTATATCTATAGGTGACCAATTTAATGCAAGTAAGTAAGTTAGTGAAAGTAAGACA